GAGCCGTACGTATTTGGAAACCTACTGTATGCTAATGTGGCACCAGTAGTTTGACGTAAAAGCTGAAGCGTCAACTAACATGGATTATTTCATGTGGTTGTTATATATTTCATGTTTTGCAATATATCAATATCAATCCAATGACACATGGTGCGTGTGTATATACATACATACATAGAGGAGGTTTAGTTTACAAACCACGCTATTTGTACAAACCTCATTTAACTAATCATAATTTTTATTTTGTTTATTTTTTTGTAATTATTAGAGGTTGATTAATATGTTAATATCATGGATATTATCATCTTAATTTTATTAATTTTAGAAAATTCATGAAACAATTTCAATAAAATTTCATAACCATATGAAAAACTTTATCAAAAAAGTATTATATGAAACAATTTTAATGAAATTTTTTCATAAGATTAAACAATAAAATTGATGGATGAGGGTGGTTTGCACGTTTTATACAAACTAAAATGCATTTATTTATAAATGATATTGTTTGATTTCGAGTTTCGTTACCGATTAACTTCGTGTTATCGTATATAGTTATCAAGGTGAGCTTTGTTTTAACCGTTTACAAACTGAAATGCATTTAATTATAAATGATATTGTTTGATTGATGTATCTTATTGATACGAATTGGTTTACGTTGGATAGCTTATTGTTTGATTGTTGTGTTTAGTCGCCTTGGGAGGGATGTAGTGCTTGCAGTCACACAGAGTGATTATCTATTTAAAGATTCTCATGTTCAATGATTTACCGAATTGTTCGCTGATAGAGATTTCCTCATTAGACCATATGATCTAACCCTCATTTTGTTTTCAAAATATGCATTTCAGGACAAAGCGCGTTTAACTGATAAAGGGAAAGGGAAAGGGAAATTATGAGCTTATTTGGTTATATGTCTAAATGAAGATGCCGGAAAGTTATTAGTGACTTTTTGTTACATTTGTATAATTTTGGATCGAAAGTTCAAATTGTATTTCAGATGTATTCAACTTGTAGTTTAAGGAACGGTTGCATTTTTTTTTAATGTTTGTAACAAACAAAAAATCTGGATCTTGAAAAATTAGGATCTGAAAATAAATACACCTAGTATAAAAATATAAAGCAAATATTAAAAAGTTATGAGACTCGGTATTGAGCAAATAACGGTTTTGCAAAATATATATACTTAAAAAGATCGATATAATATTAAAAATAACTAGTCATCTATTTTCCCGTTACAAGATAATAGCGGTGATATGATTATCGTAAAAAAGGAATATTAAAAAAAAATTAAAGATATGAAAATGATTATTACAAGTTGGGCCGAATAAGTTTTGGGCCTGCCTTTATTTCAACATTTTGTACCTTGTCCTTATTTTCCTAACCTCATTTGAATGTTTGATAGCCAATTAAATGACCACAATAACCCTCCGAATCAAATGATCGGATTATGGGTGTTTGCATTTCGGTTTGGACGGTTAACCCTTCAAATTATAAACCAAACTTTAATGGTGGTTTAGAAAAAAATTCAAACCGAACAGTTTAAGAGTAAGTGATCGAATTGGTCAAATCGAACAACAAAAAAATGGTTTAGTTTTACTGGTTTAGAAGGTTTGGATCTCTTATGAGCTTTAAACAAATAAAAACACAATATTTATATTCAAAATGGAATTCCTAAAATTTTATAAAAAAGACATTGAGCAAGTTGGAAAAAAAAAAGTTAAACGAGTTCACCAACAATAATTAGAATTTTGGACAAATATTGAACAAGTTGAAAGACGATTTGGAATTTGGGTTTGATTTTTGAAAGATTTCATAATGATGCCAATTTAGATAACATGGTCAATTGAGAAATGAGAAATAAAAACATAATGTCTTGGATGAATTTTTTTTATACTTGTACGAAAAAAGTTGGACATACAAAATGAAAGTAAATATAAATGAGTATAGTAACTGACACATTTGTATTTTTGGCGGTCGATTCGGTCCAGAGTGCTCAAAGAAAACGTTATTAGATCGAATCATAATGAACAATTTAACTATTTTTCAGATTGGACTGGGCGCCTAGACAACTCAAACCCTCCAAAAACGGTTTGTTTGACTTGATTCGACCGGTTAAAATAGTTTAACAGATTTTTGAACACCTCCAGTGCAAAATTTTAGTAATATTACTTTAGAGTGACGATTTTTATTTGCTTAAAGTAACATAAAACTCAGCCAACTTTCATTAACTTCCACCATAATTCCGTCACTGATTTTTAAAAAAATAAAAATTAATTTCGATTACTTTTGTTGCAGATTTCTTACAGAATATTAATTTATTTATAATTTAAAAATCCGCCGCAAAATGTCTTATTCTTTTAAAAAACAATTGACATTAATTAATTAAAATTTGTGTTACAAAAACATTTAAAAAAATTTTATAAAGAAAGTCGGGTTGATTTAATTTGTGATAGGTTTTCGATGAACACATTGAACTATCCATGTAGCTGAGAGCCATCATAAGATAGCGGATGGTGTGATCCTTTCGCATCCGTCCATAAATTTAAAAATCGTTTTTAATTGTTTTAATTTAAAAAAGAATTGATTTTTAAAGTTTACCAGCGGATTTCCGACGGATCACACCATCTGCCGGTAATCCGTCACTAATTATAATATTTTTTTAATGTTTAAGTTTTTATATTTTTCGACCGATCACACCATGGAAATTATTTAAATTGGGTTTTCTTTTTTAATTTTGTTTTGTTTTTTAGTGGATTTGTGGCAGAAATTTTAATAAAAATTGCATTTTTGGATGTTATTTTTTTTTTCGTATTTTCTATATGTAAATACGTATTCTATTGTATATATATGTAATATACTTCCACATATGCATATCTTACATATACGAATATATATATATATATATATGTGTGTAAATTTTATTGGTGTTAAGATGTCTTATTGGATTTTATTATGGTTTAATGGTTCTTATTGAGCCAAATACACATCATATACATAATACATATCTGTCTACAAACACGTAATAAGTCACGATTGATGCTAATGGGCCTTAATGATTGTAAGAATGATAATAAAAGAAACTATTTGGTTTATATAATATAGTGATTTCATTTCCCGCAAAAGTCTAAATTCTCATTCAAAGTTAAAGTATAGGGAATGAAAGTTATTACCTTTTTTCATTCTCCAACTTGAACCAAACAACACCTTATGCTTATATTTGTATGTATATTTTTCGTTTCACTGTGTGAACGAAAAATAAGTACACGTGTACTTTTTTTTACAATGTAATACAAACATATGTTAAAAAATATCTTAAATATTTTTCTCACAATGTAAGCACGGACATATATTAAAAAGTGCACATGTTAATTATATAGGTGGTTTGATTTACAAATCCAATAATTTATACAAACTACACAAACCAATTCGACCGATAATTTAATTAATTTTTTTAAAAATAGAATATATATATATATATATATATATTGTAAAAATTAATTAAATTATCAGCAGAAAATCTGTCGATAATTTAATCATAATTATTAATTTACTTAATTAACTCAAAGAATTTGTTAAAATTAAAAAAAAATGTGGCAGATTTTCGACAATCATATCCGCCAGAAATTGTGTTTCCGGGCTTTTTCCTACCAACAAATCCGTTGTTGATTCTGTTTATTGTTTTCCGGCAGATTCGTCTGTTGGGAAAAACATGTTTTTCAATGGTGACTTCTTAATTATTATGTATCTGATCGTTTAGGAACTGTTAAAGAATTATGTAGTTTTGTCAAATTGAAAATAGATATTTTTTTTATCTCAGAATAAATGTCCACATTTTTATTTATGTCTGTTCGAAATAAATGTCCACTTTAAAAGACAGATAGCTAAATTTCCAGATCTATCATTAGCTCATCATAAATATTTAAGAGTTGATAAGATAAATATAAAGTTAACATTTGGTTAAATAAAATGTATAATAAATATTTATGTATAAAATTATAGGGTATAGTTCCGGTTAGAATGAAAGTTATAGTGTAAAGTATAAAAATGAATCTCCACCTTAGATCAATCTTAATTGAAGATCAATAGTAATAAGATGCACCAAGATGTACCGAATCAATTGATTACGATTATCCAAATCAAATGTCCTAACATCCTTATCACCTCTAACAAATAAAGCCATACACTAAAACGACCATCGGTACACCGCACCATCACCATCACCATCACCATCTTCTCATCACTGAGATTGTCGAAAGACCTAATGATATAAGGACGATCTTTGTAGTAAGATTGTTAATAAATCTAACTGTAATTGGTTTAATTAATGATTCGATTTGATTTGATTATCCAATGAAATGGATTATATTTGATCCATTAATTAATTAGTAGATTTTGATATGATCCATCATATGATACAACTCTCAACCAAAGAGAATTGGGTTTTATAGAAAGCCTATGTTCTAATAGAGTGTTTTATAAGACTTAAGTTTATAAGACTAAACCATAAAACATTGCATTCATAGGTCATTACATGATCAAAATTGTACAAATAAATTAGTTGATATAAAGTTTTTATTTTAAAAACAAGTAAAAGTTCTGAAAAAACATCTTATAAACCTATTGTAACACTTTTTAATATTACGATCTATGATTTAATTTTATTAAATTCTATAAAACAATCTATTAGAACACTTTCTAATGTATATCTAAAATCTTTTAATTAATTATTTAACTCTATGATCAAATTCCACGAACTCATAACATATCTATAGATTTAAATAAACAAATGAAATATATTTAAAAAAACAATACAGCGATCGAAATCAATGTCGTCAACATCAATAACTGAATGAATAAGAACATAACTCTAGAACAATGCATTTATTGTAAAAAACAATTACATTTTACTTGAAAACTATAAATACATACATACATACATTTACTTGAAAACTATACTATACATATATATATATATATATATATATATATATTATCATAACAAATTAAGGTTTTGTTGTTTTTATTCAACACAAAGAAAAAATGGTATTCCGAAAAGTAAAACTTTTTAGACATATTTAATTACACATTTAGTTAAATCTAAAAATAAATATGTAAACTCGTAATTAATGTTTTAATTAATTACCAGTTAAGGTGGTGGCATGCAGGCAGAATCTTCGTTAACCCATCCATATTTCTGCAGATAAGGATTACTCAGTGATTTCGGTGGAAAATGGTCCACACAATCTTCCCAAACATTCTTATCTTCCAAATCCTTTAATACCTCCCACATACAACTGTTACACTTGAACCCGGATCCGAACCCGATCATCAAAACCCGATCTCCTTTCTTCAACCTCTTCTTTGCCTGCATATACCCTAAAACATACCACAAACTGCTTGCAGATGTGTTCCCAAATCTGTGCAGTGTCATCCTCGACGGCTCCATATCTTCTTCCGTTAACGCCAAGCTTCGTTTCACTCCGTCGATCACTGCCTTCCCACCCGGGTGCAAGCAAAAATGGTCCACTCCTAACTTGAAGTTCAAACTCATCTTCCCTTTAACCCTAATCTGCAAAAATTTAGCACCAAATTTCTGGAGATTCGAAAGCAAAATGTAACGACAGATTGCTGTTAATGGCAATATCTTTGGTGCTATAGTTCTTAGGTTTTGGGTTAGAGCTCGTGAGGCGGTTTTCGGTAGGGTTTTCCCTAGGAAAAACCCTAGATGGCCTTTGTCATCTTCTTGTTGTTGGCAACATGCGTGAGCTTCATCGCTTGCTCCCAAATGGGTTCGAACCAAACACTTTAACTTAAACATGGCTTGCTTTTCTAGAGCCTTTCTGTTGGTTAAGAGGACCGAACAACCCCCGCAACGGAACAAACAGTTGGTGAGGATCATGGACTTCTCATTGCCGTTGTACCAATTTGGCGCGATTGACTCTGAGGTTAAGACGAGCGCGAATTTGTTTCGATGAGATTTGAACATGTTTTGAACAAGATTGATGGAGATCAGGCTCGCACTGCATCCCATTCCCGAGAGATTATAAGATTTGATATCTTCTCTCATTTTGTAATGGTTGATGATACGAGATGTTAGTGATGGCACTAAAGCCATCACTGAAACATTGACGACCAATATGTCAATGTCTTGCGGAGAAACCCCAGATCGGCTGAATAGCCTATCTAGGGTTTTTGAATAAAACTCGTCCATTTCAAATAGACTATCGCTTAACCTAGGGTTTGTCCCACGACCTAAGAAGAAGTTTCTTGGACCATAAGTTTCTTCTCCGATGCCAGAGCTAACTATGGCTCGCAAGAGAAACCTATACTCTTCGATACCTAAGTTCTTGCATCCCTTGATCATATCACCGGAAAATTCAGTGGAGACTTTCCGGTCATCGGTCGGCTTGAAGCATTCATAATCCAAGATGTAACATGACTGGTTTCTTCTTTGATCGATGAATTTATAGAAGAGGTGTAAGAGACATAGCACCAAGAGACATGGTGCCAATATCACAATCATCATTTGAAGGTCGATCACTATGTGTGTGTGTGTGTAATTTATCAGAGTCAATACCACCATTTATATAGCCAATTGACAAACCCCTACATTGGATTATAATTACTTCTTCGTTAAAATAGTGCTTTTGAAGATTTAAGACATTTTTTCTATATAAAAAAAAAGGAAATCTTCAAACTTGAAGAAAAATCTCTAAAATTATATACAAGATATAAAAATAATATTTTTAACGTTTTTCCACCAATAAGAAGTATTGAAATTAATTGTTTACAAAATAAATAATATTTTATTAAATATATTAATAATATAGTTAGGTGGCGTTTGTTTTTTAATATGTGCTGAAATCTGAAATCTGATTTCACTTCTGATTTTTAAGAGGTGGTGTTGAATTCTGAAATCTGAATCAGTCAGACTGTTTGTTTTTGTAAACTGACAAACGTCTGAAGTCTGAAATCTGAATCAATAGTTTGCTTTTGTAACCAACAAAACATATGAATATGTATAATTTCTGATTTCACTTCTGTTTATGTTCTCAGATTCTTTCAACTATTCCTTCTCCTCCAGATCAAGGCTTCCATCTTCACTCTCCACCCTCATCCTACCACCATCAACCACCGTCCACCACCACTCCTTCTCTAAAATCTAATGCCTAAATCCACCTCTAAAATCGAAGCAAATCTCCATTTGATGACAACTACAGTGACGAAAACTACAGGGACGAAAATACATTGATTCACGAGGATAAATGTGCACAACTACTGGTTTGCACAGGAACAAAAATACACAGTGGCGAAAACCCATAGGGAAGAAAACCCTCTTGATTTGGATCTGATTTGGGTTGATTTGAAGCCACCAGAGGCGATGGAGTCGATCGATTGAGACCGTGAGGAGGGTGAAGTCGATCGAATAATGAAGTAGAAATTGGTTCTCTGGATAGTCTTCAGAATTAAGAGGAAAATAAGTGGTTAGATTATCACTTAATTTTTAAGAGGAAAATAAAGAATACGTGGCTCTGGAAAAAAAAAAGGGTCTGAATTGCCTTATGTCAGTCTGACCGAATCAGACATAAGTGGTAAAATAAGAGCTTTTTAAAAAAAAAAACAAACATCACCTTAATGTTAGAACTGCTAAAATAGAGTAATAGTTATATTTTAATGTATTTTTTTTATAGATTCGTTGACTTTTAATACTCTATTTTAAAAATATATGTATATAACATAGTCGTTGAAGATGTTTTAATAAAAATTATTAATTTGATGCCATTTGGTTTTTAAAATCATTGCAATATTACATGTTTTATAATCATGGACAATAATGAAAGTTGGAGGTTCCAGATTCAAATCCAAGAAGGAATAAAAATCCCCTCGTGGCCACGGTTCAACTGCAGTGACTCCGGACTATCTGCAAAGCAGGTGATCGTCCTGCGATTAGTCGGCTAACATAACAGGTTGGATATCCAGGTTAATAAAAAACAATAATAAAAGCACAAAAGTTGAATTGATAAGTTTTTCTATAGTTTTTTGAACCGACAAGTTACAAAAAGAATTAAGAGTTATTGCTTCTCTCACAAGCTTCACGAACCAAAAGATAAAGGAAAAGCTTTCAACATGAAGGATCAAAAAGTGTGATCAAAATTGGTAAGGTTACTAAAAGTGATGGACGCTTTTAAAAACACAACGAAATCGGTTGATAACGATATGACATAAAAGAAATACATCAATTTAAATAACATAAATTAAAAATAATAGATTAAGAAAAAAGTATATAAAGTATCAAAAATTATATTACAAATAATATTACGAACTGGAGAAACAAATACAGGAATTGACACGTCCTTTCAATTTTGCACGTTCAAACAAGAACACATCAGATATAGAGACAATGAAGCTGCATTTTGGTTATCTTCTATAAATTCATCAAAAAGCGTGAATTTTTGTATGCACTTACAACTCATATATAAATTTACTAACAATGGTGTAATTTTTTTTTTATTAACAATGGATGTTCGAGTCAATTTGTACACAGATCAATTGATTCTAGGAAAATAGTTAAAGAAATTTCCATTGACACTTGAATCGAGAAAGATGGTCAAAATTAACCTAGATCATTATTATTAGTTAAACTAAGGGGCCGTTTACTAAACACTTACTCGGTAAGCGCTTACGGATAAAATTTAACATTACCGCTTACTTACCGGGTAAGACTTTAAACTACCAAAACGGTATTGTATACAACAATTTACCCAGTAAATGTTTACCGTGGTAAGAATCGCTGTCCTTACTTACCGGGTAAGACTCTTGTTCCTTGTCTCACTCTTACCGGGTAAGATTCTTGGTCCTTCCCATATTCATCTGGTAAGATAATGTAACTTGGTAAGCACTTAACTAGATAAGCGTTTAGTAAACGGCCCCTTAAATGTTAGAATGGTGGACTTTGTTTCAACATAGAATGGACCTCTTAGCCTTACAAAGGTTGATTCACATATGTTGTTGGGCCAACTGTATTAAAAGGCATAACCCCATAATTTTGACTTTTACATGTGAGAGATGGTCGTTAACCATTAAGGCCTTATGCTTTTAGAGGCTACTTAATGCACTCTTAAACATCCCAACTATATTTGTGGGCAAATATAATTAAAGAATATGTTAAAAAAGTGGGAAAAATTCAAAAATGTGAACGAACTTTAACATTTTTATTTTTTTTAATAAATAAATCCTTAAATAGTTGCATGTCAGAAACAATGGTATGTCTATGAGACTCGTCATCAATTTATAAATATATAACCGGGTTTAAAAGATTCTTTGTATATTTCTTACAACTCCAACGAACGTCACAAAAGTTGACGTTGTTATTAAATGCGTGATACTATCCAACGAACGTCACAAGGTTAATAATTATTAAATGCGTGATACTATCCAACTACATATTTTGTGGATATAGCTAAATCCATGACTTGCAAAAACTTTGAATTTATTTCAAAATTAAATAGCTCAATAAATTCTTTCATCTAAATTTTCCTTGCTGTTTTTAGGACACCGACTGCAACCTTTATTTAGTCCATATACATATAATTAAGTTATATAATTAAATTTGATATAGACATGTTATTATCAACGCCCCAACATATATACATATATATATATATATATACATAGGGGCCTATTCAAGGGAGAACTGAGTTGTTTGTGGTAACTGTGAGAACCAATATTAACCACAAATCAATAGATAAATTAGGA